TATAGTATTCAGAAGTGTGATTCCTCTCCAGTTTTCGCAATATCTTCTGTCACCCTTTTTTGGTATCTTTATTATTAATCCCGTTTTCCATTCTTTGGGGAACTTTTCCTCTCTCCAAGCCCTTTTCAAGAGTGGTTGGATTAGCTCTGCCACTGTACCTGGGCAAGCTTTTAACAACTCTGGTGAAATATTGTCAGGGCCGACTGCTTTGTGTGCTTTCAGTTTTTCTATGGCCATTTCTATTTCTTGCGTTGTTGGTTCGTTGATGTTAATTCTTAGTTGGATATTGGGTATTAGGTTTTCTGCGTCTTCTATTGGTGTTGGGACTGCACTTAGAGATTCGCTAAAATATTCATGCCATCTTTTGACTTGTTCCTGTGGCGTTGTAATATCTTCCCCTGTAGCACTTTTTAATGTCCTACACACATTAATTTTAGATCTGGTCTCCTACAAGATCTACTTAAGGTAATGTATATTGCTGGAAAATCAAAACCTGAACTACAAAGAGTAACCGTCTTGTCATATAATAAAATGAAAGTCTTTGTCCAGTATGAATATGACCAAAAAGAGGATGGTCCTCATATGTACATGCAAGTAGTGATGGCAAGAGGACTTTTTGATAAATGGAAGCAACCATTTTATATTCGCTTTGATACAAGTATGACTGACAATATTTTATCTACCATAATTACTGAGTTGCACAATGTAAAATATAATGTGGTTGCACGTGTGCCTGATTGCAGGGGGCGCAATCAAGGACTTTGGAAACTAGAAACAAGAAAAATACTAGGAAAAAATCCAGGTATGATGTAAAGAACTACTAACGTTTCTCATTATGTCAAGAAAAAGAAGAATATATCGTTGCAAAAGCTTTTCCACAAGCAAAGATAAATAAGTTGCCACCTGAAGTACCCACAACTGTAGACACATGTTCGTGAAACTGCAAAGTCAAAGTAGCAGTAGTTCAGACATGTCACAACTAGCCAATATAAAAAAAAGAAACCGAAATAAATAGGTTGGTACATATTGCTGGTTTCATAGCATTTAAATATAAAAATCAATTCCCAAATTTAAAGAGACATACCTATAAGGAACAAAATATAAATATTCACAATTATTCTGCACCATCCTGGGTAAAACTATCATTTGGTGGACTCATAAATGCATCATCGCATTTATGAGTAGACCGAGTAATGGGTATACTAAGTAATGACGATGAAAAAATATTTCCAAAATTTTCATGGTGAAAACCCAAATCGGGGTAAGAAAATACATCGAACTGCAGAGTATGTTTCCAGTCATTGTTCGGATATACCCCTTTGTCTCATAAAAATGTATTGCAGACAAAGGATATTCATGCGGATTGAGTATTTTAATAAATGCTTCAAAAGCCAGTTGACCAGTGCCAAAAGAAAACAAGATAAAGACATTAATGTAGTGTATATTTATATCTATTGGAAATACAATAAACTAGTTAAGTTATTTACCAATTAAAATTGATTACCTTTTATTTAAATTCTTACAATAAATTTTACAAGTAATTCTAATTCGTATAATCCTAGCTGACCTCTAAGGGCCGGTAATTTATTCAATAGTTAATACAGTATTGATGGAAATTCAGTATACGCGAAAAATTTTAAGTGTAAAATGAAGATTGAAATCCTAGATTTACGTAAATTCTGCATTAACCGTTGGACAAACGTGAACAACCTGTTCTGATTAATTATTTTAAGTACCAAACTACCTACATATTAACAGTTTTCCATAATTAGGTATTATAATCCACTAAAAATCTTTACTTCATAACTATCTTTACTATTTTCCATACATCACAGGCATAAAAACGCCGATTAACCATGTTACGATTCAAATTTTTGTACTCTCGTGACGTTTTTGCGGCCTTTATGTGTTCTTGTCGTGACATATGTCTTGTCTTGTGACATATTTATGTCACATGACACCTTAACATTTCCGTTAAATACCATTCTCTCTCCTCTTGCGGACAAGACTGTAGCGTAGAATAATGTTTTAAATAATTTTAAACTGTTTGTCCTTGTCTTAGTGTAGTGTTATGTACAATTTATGTTTAATTTCATGTTTATTACATTCTGCGCTTGCTGAATAGCCCAAATTTGACGAAATGCCCCTGATCATGCTGTAGAAAGCGAAAGTACTTGGGCAAGATTTGATTAATAAAATTGTGCTCGATATTTGCCTTTAATTTTTCAAAGTTCATTTATTCGAGCATTCAACCTTATATCAAATTAATTTTTTATTTTATTTTGTGATATTGGCGATTTTGTAATTTCAATAAATTTTAATTATTGTTATGTTCTGAATTTTTTCTTTGTCTTTGTAGTTTATTCTATTCTATACTCATACGATATAAATAGTTATCTTTTAAATATTTTAAACATAGTGGTAAATAACTCTTGATTTATTACAGTTTCTGTGGTATTAATGAGTATCTGTCTCATGTGTTGTATTTTTTACATCGAGTTAGAATCTATGGAGAGGGCATCACGTGACTAAAAACGACCTCACTTCGGCCATATTGTTAATATCGTTTTGAAACTTTTGACAGATCGTATATCTTTGTTTACATTTGTTGTTTTTCGAATATTTTCAGTTTTATAATACTTTTATAGAAACTGTAATATATTGTGTAACGGTTTCTTGTTCTCGACGTAGTTGCAGTAGCAGAAGCAATGTTAATAAAAAATCTTCAGGAATATCGTTCCACAGGTTAGTATACAAATATGTAAACAAAGTAATGGCCCGTACTTTATAGAATAAATTAATAGTATTTGATTGTATTAATTTATCTTTATGTATAATATATCGTGTTTTTAGTGTTTACCGCGGGATAAATAAATCATAGTTTATTAAAATTTTTCGCACTTTTTTAGATTATGATTAAAACTTCTGAATAACTAGTCATATTTGTATACTAGTTTTAACATTATTGAGTCTGGCCCTAATGTCACCACCATATTGGTATTATCGTTAGTCACGCCTACCTACGCCGTTTTTAATACATACGTTAATATGCTCATAGTTTCTCCATAGATTCTAACTCGATGATTTTTTATGTTTGACGAATGTAATAATGTAGAAATTTACATGAATAAATCTATTTATCTTATACTTTTTAAATTTTGCACTTTGTTCTATTAATATATTACAACAACACCATTAATTCAAAGGTGTCAAAGGATACCGAACAAAGTCAAGATAAACAATAGTATAACAGAAATAGGTCTATTATCATCTAAAATGTTTAGCATATCAGAAAAGGTTATACAGGAAGCAAACATTAATAAAACAGGTCTGATCTACCACAAAAAACATCACTGCTTAGCATTTGCGAACGAATTGGCAATCTTGACTAGAAGCAAAATATAGCTGATCGAAACATTCATGAACTGAAAGAGAAGCTAATGTAGGTATATAAATAAAGCAAAAACAAAGTATATTGAATGCACAAATAAGAAATTCGTTCGAAAGCAATTCATAACAATGATAACAGCAAATGTAACACAATATAAATTCGAAGACGTTAAAAGATTTGAGAACTTAGGAAATGTCTTCACAAGAGAACCTAACTGTGAGAAAGAAATACAGAAAAGAATTATGTCTGGCAACCACGCTGTACATGCTCTCAATGGGTTGTTAAGAAGCAAAAATATATCTCGAAGAGCAAAAAGGCCAATAGTGATGTATTCTTCTGAAAAATGGGTCACAACAAAAAAAAACACCAGGAGTTTTTATTAGTTTGGGAGCACAAAATCTTGTGGCAACATATTAGCGGTCATTAAAGTTCAAAGGCTTAGATTGTTGGGTCATAATGATTCCATCTAGAATTTCCAGAATGGTACTACCTAGTGCATTGACAGGCAAAAGGCGAAGACAAAGACCAAGTTTAAGATGGAGCAACGAAGTTAAAGAACATATGAAAAGTCTTAAGGAAACTAACTGGGAAACAAAAGGGAGTGACAAAGAATAGTACATCAGCCATGGGCCCACTAGGCTTGTAGTGCTTACATATTGTTATCATTATTAAACATTACCAAGATAATTTTATATGTGAAAATTACAAACGATATAATTTAAAACATTGTGCAATATTGTGTGACCTGACTACACTCATATTCGATGGCCAGCTAGCTCATCTGATCTAAAGTTGACTTTATTATTATTTATTTTGATTTTGTGTTTAGTTCAGTATATACGTATAAATTTTATGTACCTACATAAGAAAGTGATCATTAACAAATTAAGAAGTGGGAATAGCTTGTACATTTGAAAATAATTTTAAAATTTTTAGCTGTACTCGACCCTTTTTTATGTAGATACCACGTTTTTTGTATTTTTTAAACATCTGAAATATCGAACTCTGGAGTATAAGTTAATCAATCTGTACCAATGTGTAATAAAAGATAATTAAAACTTGTTTTGTAAAGGATATCTATGTAAAAAAAATAACTGTACCAAAAATCAATAATATTAAATTAACTTCAAAGTATTATTTATGGTTAACTATTATAATAACATAATTTTATCATCTCTATAATTACTACAATTAAATTAGGCAAATAATATAAAAAAACTTAAAATTAAGTGTGTCCTATACAACTTCATTCAAATGAAGCGTGAAGAAGTGTTCTTGACTCGCGCTAGGCGAACCAATTTTGGAACATTATGTATTATACCTTGTGTTCATTGTTCCATGGTATTTACGTATAAGATTTTTGGAAAAATGTAAATTTTAGGACAGGCCAGTTTCTACGTTAGTTTGTGTCTATCAAGTTTATTTGGACGCCGCCGGTGAGGTTTTTGGGAAGTCATTACCTAATTCTTTTTTATATTTGTAGTAAACATTATTTTATTTAATAAATAAATACTTAAATTAAAAAAAATTAAATATTTAAATAAAATAATAGCACTCTTTCAGAAAGCCTTTAATAGCGAATGAAATAAACGATGAAATTCAGCATATAATGAATGGCAAAGATAGTGAGCAAGAACCTTTTGAAGATAGTGGAAGTGAGTGGAACTTAGCAAAAGATATTTTGGAGCTTGATTCAGACGATTCAGAAGAACAAGATTATCCTAAAAATATTGATAATTTAGAAATTTTCCAGCTATCCAGAAGCTAAGAAGTCGCTTGCAAAATTTGAAAAAATATTTGTCCCATTATCAGTTTGAGTAATGCTAATTGAATTAGCTGCATTTCCAGTATATATATTCCAGTTGCAATACAAGTATACGCACCAACTGCAGACAAAGAAAATACCGTTATAGAAACATTTTACCAACTTGTATCAGTAGCCTTAGCTATGACAAAAAAAAACATGAACTTACTCTTATTATGGGATACCTCAATGCAAAGGTGGGATCAGAAAGTACTTTCAATATTAAGGTAAAACTGGGTGAGATGCCGCACCTTTCTTCTCACAATAAAAAAATAAACATAGGTTTAACTAAAAAAAAATTCTAATCTCCAGGTTATTCGTTGATCATTACTTCAACGTATATCCCATGTTAATAAATGTTGTGTAAAAGGGTTTTTTGTGTATTATCGGAAAACTAAAGAAACTTACTTTGACCATCTTACCCACCTGGGTGAGTAAGATGCCGCAAAAGGGTAGGGAGAGATGGCTTATAGAAATTAACATAAAAAAACAGTCTACACGTAAATTTTTATAAAAATAAAACACTTACAATTTATTTCTTAGTTTAAATTTGTTTTTTCAATTCTGCACGGCCACACATATTACACCTTACTTCATACAATGTGCAGGTTTCATGCATCCATCTAGCACACTTGATGCACTCAAGCCAATCTGCGTTAGATGTTGTTGTGTTATAATTTTCATAACACTCTACACAAACATCACTGTCGTGCACCGACTCGTCCTCACTTGAACTTAAAACAAAGTCAGACTCAGATGAAGAACTGTCTTTTCGAGCATATTTTTTTTTTCTTTTCATAACCTCTTACATTTGCATTCTTTTTTTTATTACAATTTTCAGTTTTCTTCCCTTTAGTTAGATTCTTTTCTTTATCTTTTTTTTTCTCTCAACAAGAGCCAAGCGTTTCTTGGTTTTGTCAGCTATTACTTCTGGCGAGGTTAATACCTGAGCTGACTGTTTTCTTGAAGATGGCTTCCTTGAAATAGGTGTGGGAATTGGGGAAACCTCGAGAAGGAGTTTTGTTGGAGTTGACTTCCCCCGCAAACACGGCAAGTTATCTTTTATGGGCGTGACGATGATTGTAGTGACTTCTTTAGAGGTCGATGGTGTGGTCAAATCTTCTTTACCCATTAAAAAATTCTTAGTGGCTACGTCTTGGTTTGCAAATGCTTCTTCAAGTGTTGCATCAGTGACAGCGGAAGGATCAGTGACAGTGGAAGGATCAGTGACAGGAGAAGGATAAGAACTGGTTGATGGGACAGGAATTTCATCTTCATCATTTGATTCTTGGTCAGATGGTGCGGAATTATAGTCTGTCCTTGCGAGAAATGCGTCTTCGGGAATAGCTGAAGGTTTAAAATGGTAGACTCCACATGCCCTGAATCCTGTAATACCTGTCTGCACAGTTGCAGATTTTGACCCAGCTTAAGCAAGCAGTTCTCCGAAATGACGCCTCTCCAATTTCTTTCCAGGATTAGCGTTTCCCCACTCGCTTGCTGCGTGTCTGTAGTGGGCCTTTAAGGGTTTAAAAAAGAACCTGTCGAGTGGTTGTAAATATTGCGTGGTGTGGCTTGGTAGACATAGAAGTACAACATCATTATTGGAAGCACATGTCAAAATATCGGGAGAGTTCGTATGTGAGCCATGACCATCTAAAAGTAACAAACACTTGCCCGGTGGTTTTCGTGGTAAAAAGTGATCTCGAAACCACTTCATGAATATATTTTCATCAATGTAGGCTGATTCCTTTCTCATTTCGATAGCCGCTCCTGCGGGCATTAATTTTTGCCAAATTTGTTGTTTTTTGACACCTTTAAAAATACAGAAAGGATGTAAGAAGGCACCTTAAGTATTGGTTTTGTCTATCAAAGTAGACACTATATACATTATATACTTAAAACTCTCCAAGTAATCGAGGAGACAATATTGTAAGAAAACAAATTGGTTATATAACAGTCAATGAACGATTTAAAAACTGCATAACATCGGTCAAGACTTACCCATGTGCCGATATTCGATCAGATCATACTCTACTGTGCTCTACAATCACAGTCAGGCTAAAGAGAGTTTGTAAAAATCAGAAAACCTCCAAAATATTACTAGACGCACTCCAAGACTCAGGCACTCTAAATAAGACCAGAAGATACCAACAACGTTGATGGGAACAAATGGAAACAACAATAATAACTGCATTCGAGAAAATTTTTTATGACAACGAACAGTTAAAAATGACTGGATGATACAAGACATCTTGTCAAAAAGAGAAAAAACTATATAAAGAAATATATACATAAATAATATTATATATAAACAATAAACTACATAAATAAATCCGTAAAAACAAGAATTAAAGTAGCAAAACACCGATAGCTACAAGAAACCTGTTTAGAAGCTAAGAAACTGGAGCAGCGACCTGACAACTTCAATTTGCATATAAGAAAAGCATGGCAATTGAGGGGTGCCGACAAATCTCAATACTTTTTACTATTTTTATTGGAATAGGCCACAATTTAAGTTCAATATAATTTTATTGACGTTTCAATTTCAACTTCGAAAATCCTCAAAATACAATATTTTAAATACATTAATAAATTAAACACTATTTTTTAAACAAAAAACAAAATATAATTTTTTACAATTTTTTTGTTTAATTTTATTTAATTTTATTTAATTTTTTAAATTTTAATAACTTTAAGTTAATTTTATTTAATTTTATTTAATTTTATTTAATTTTATTTAATTTTATTTAATTTTATTTATTTTATTTAATTTTATTTAATTTTATTTAATTTTATTTAATTTTATTTAATTTTATTTAATTTTATTTAATTTAATTTAATTTAATTTAATTTAATTTAATTTAATTTTATTTAATTTTATTTAATTTTATTTAATTTTGTTTAATTTTATTTAATTTTATTTAATTTTATTTAATTTTATTTAATTTTATTTAATTTTATTTAATTTTATTTAATTTTATTTAATTTTATTTAATTACATTTAATTTTATATAATTTTATTTAATTTTATTTAATTTAATTTAATTTTATTAAATTTTATTTAATTTTATTTAATTTTATTTAATTTTATTTATTTTATTTAATTTTATTTAATAATATTTAATTTTATTTAATTTCATTTAATTTTAGTTAATTTTATTTAATTTTCTTTAACGTGTTTTTGAGTTAAGTAGTTGACTGGTTTGTCCAATATATCCCCATCGTAATTCGAGCAAGGAATTTTACATACAACATGCGATCTTTTTAATTGAGGTGGTTTTGTTTTTAGTTTTCTAAACTGATCAGGCGAGTTCGTTGAAACCAATCGATCTTATAACCGCTGACATACCCGGGGAGCTATAACGCCTTTCCATCTGGTAGCTGGGCAGCTTTATCTCTCGACCAGTCAATAACATTGCTCAAATGTAATCAGTTTTTTCATGTTGGGAGCTTCCGTATACTAACAGATGCATCATTTTGTCCCAATCTCTCTGATTTTCATGTACAAACAGGGATAGTTGTTGATGGTCCTGTTATTTCTTTCTACCATGCCATTAGACTGAGGATGATGCAGTGTCGTTCTAGTTATCTTAATTCCTAGCAAAGCTATCACGGTCTTCCGAACTTTCGATTCGAAGTTGCGTAGCGGAACCTCATGTAGGAAAACAATATTTTTAAGTAAGGCCTCACTAATTGCGATTGATTCTTGGTTGGGTATAGCAACTACTTCTGGCCATTTGGAACAATACTCCATAGCAACTATCTAATACATGTTTCCTGTCGTCCTCTCCACCCTCGAATCTTAATCCTACTGTCAGAAAGGTTCACGCCAATCATCACGCTAACCTCCACAGAAACCACGTCACCATCGCGTGAACGCGTTCTGTTCCCGGTGGCAGTAATGCATTGATAGTCGACGCGGTTCAACCCAAAAGACTTTTGAGTTTAATATTAATTCTGCTAATAGTATTAATCTTAACACTAGGTTTAATTATACTAACCGCGGAAATCTATCGGAACACATCGAAATTCCTTAGGCAGCCAGAAGAACAAATTCATTTGTTCTTGCGGAGATTAACAATACACAGCGTCTCTTTAGTTCCGTATTTTTAAAAATATCAACATTTTTTGGACTTATAACAAGTGCCGATAATATGGAGAGACTAGTGATTTAAGAAAAACCGGAGTAAAGAAGAAATTGAGGGCGATTTAGTTTGTGACATCCAACATAGGGATATATTGAGAGACAGCAAAATAGAGAAATACAGTGCCTGGAAGAATATTAGGTTTGTTCTAGCATCAGTTTCAAATGGTTTGAAACCATCAGCGAATAGTGGACCAGTGCGAGTAGAGGGGATATAGCACTGGTGACTGTATTATTTTCTCTCGCTGACCAACTGTTTTCTGACAGTTTCTGACTAGTTTGTCTGTTTGCTAGAACAAACCTATTATTTACTACGTATCTTTTAGTATGTATGAATTGTAAGAAATTCGAAAAATCGATATATGACTAACATCGATTGGTGCATTTGCTTTCTGAGTCGAAGTTTGTAGATTTCATGTAAACTAAATATGACTTTTAATTTTGTATCAAGATTTATGTTATTGTTTTGACAAACGTCAAAATTCATAGTTATAAATTTAATAATTTCTAAGACATGTCGTCTTTAAAAAATATTTTATATTTTTTCAGGATTTGGGGATGCTTGCTTGACTCCAACTGGTGAGACTGCTAACTGTATACCTGCTAATCAATGTAAAGCAGTGCTAGATGTTCTACGAAGTGCAAAAAGACCATTGCCTCCAAGCGTTAGTAAACAAATAAACGCATATTACTGCGGGTAAGCAGGTATTGTATAGTTTACTTCTGCAACTGACCATAATATTACGTCTCGTGAAACAACTTTTACCATTTTAGTTGCATAAATATTGTACTCCTAAGTATTTTCGGTAGTACGTGTAATGTTGGTAGTTATGCAATTCAACGAAGCTTTTTGCATTCGATTCGGGAAAGTGCCAGGAAAGTTTGTGAACAAAATTCATGGTGGTTAAATAAAAATTTTATTTTGGGCACAAGGAAAATGCATTTCCAAAGTACATAAAAAACAAAAAAAATTGGTACTCGAAACATAGTAAAAGGAATGAGTTCAGTTTTCGCTGAACACAATGATAACAACGATGCTCCTTGAGCTACCTTATGTCCAATGTGAACCTTGTTTTATATATTTTGATGTTATTTTTTGTCTAAATCAATGGACAGTGATTACTCGGGGATTTCGAGGTCTCTGAACACGAATATAGCGACGATAATCCTAGAACTACCTGATGTCCAGAGTGTACCTGGTCTCCTGGAGTTCCATGTGAATTTTATTCTAAATCAGCCGACTTCTTCTTCTTAACATGTCATACACCAAAGTGCGTAGGTGACTATCTCATTACTAGAATTCTGTTCTTGGCGGCGTGACACAGCTCGCCTGTGTTGTGTATTCCTGACCATTCTTTAATATTCCTTAACTAGGATAATTGTTTGCGGCCGGCTCCTCTTCTACCTTCGATCTTCCCTTGTAGGATTAACTGTGATATTTCATATTTTGCTCCTCTCAATACGTGCCCAAGGTAACCAATCTAGCGTTTTTTAATTAATTCAAAGAGTTCTCTTTCCACGCCGGCTCTCTTAAGGACGTCATCGTTTCGAACTCTATCCACCCAAGGTATGTACAGTTGCGGTCACGGAATAGTTTACAGGTTCACGTATCTAGAAGCCCATTTTTTAAATTTTTTCTTCGTTTAAAACGCACCTTTTACGTCAAAGTGACGTTGCCAGTGGTGTACTAGCTAGAATAGGTAGATTAAAATTAAAATATCAAAATATTTTACAAAATGAAAAATATAGAAAACAGTTTTTTGAATAAAATGGATTATGATCTTAATAACGAAAATAAAGAAGTCTTTTTTTTAATATGCATTTTATTTTAAATCTATTTTATATTAAATAACGATAAACAATGATAAATAATAATTAATATTTGGTGGAAGCCCCATTCTTGTCAATACAATTTTGCAGTCTTCTGTTCATAAATAGCACCAATCCCCTCATGTTATAGTTAACAAGCTCTTCCCATGCCTACCCAATTGCTTCCCATAATTCAATTCTATTCCGTGGTCTAAGGTTTCTTTCATTTAGTTTCTTTGTTAACTCTGCCCACACATTTTCGACAGGGTTAAAGTCTGCACTACGGGAAGGCCACGGAAGAACATTAACATCAGTTTCTTCTAGCCATTCTCGAACAATTCTACTCGTATGCACCGGGCAATTGTCATGTTGGAAGATAAAGTCGTTGTTGGGGAATCTCTGGATCACCGATGGCAACATTGTGTGCTCAATAATATGTTTGTAATATAATCCTGTTAACTTCTCCTCTACATGATAACATACGCACGGGCCTTCGGCACTTATCCATCCCCATACGTTGACAGAGAATCCTCCACTATTTCTTAAATGATGCGTATACTGTTCATCATACCTATGATTTCATGGCCTATAAACTCTTATTCGACCATTATTATACGACTGAAATACTTTTTCATCGGAAAATACAACCCTAGACCAAAAATTCTCATCGCGGTTTATAAATTCATTACAAAATTCAACTCGTCTCCTCTTGTGATCCTCAGTCAAAAAAGGTTTCCGTGCAGCTACACAATTTAGCAGTCCACTTGCTTTAATTCTTCGACGTGCAGTGCGAATACTGCCTGGAAACGCTGCCTCTTCTCTTGCCTTTTGAGCTGTGGCAAAAGGAGATTCTCTCAAATAATCTACTAACATCTCATCCTGTTGATCTGTGGAAATCTTCTGCCCTCCTGAACCGCCCAACCGTGCTATAGAGTGAAAATTATCCCATCTTTGTTTAATCTTCCATATGCACATATGACTCACGTTCAAATCAGCAGCAACTTGCCTTAGTGACCAACCTTCTTCGAGTTTGGCAATTGCTCTTGCTTTTTGCGCATAATTCAAATGTATTCTAACCATTTTGGAAGAGTTTAATATACTTTTATTTTATTGTTCAACACTCGCGAAAGCATTGACGTTTTGAAATTTTTTGACTTTGACATTTATCAAATCCGTACGACACTGCAATTTTACAGTATTACAATATAAAAAGTAAGGTGTAAACTATTCCGTGACCGCAACTGTACATCATTCTTCTCAATGACCACATTTCAAATGCTTCAAGTTTTTTGATAGATGTTTTTTTCAAAGTCCACGTTTCCATGCCATAAAGCAAGATGGACCATATATAGCACTTGACCATTCTGTAGCGTATTTCGAAATTTAGGTTTTGATTACATAGGAGCGGTCTGAATTTCACAAAAGCTTGTCTTGCCATTTGTATTCGGGTTTTTATCTCGTGTTGTGGATCCGATTGGTCATTGATTGTGGTGCCAAGGTAGTTAAAAGTTCTTACGCGTTTTATACGATCGTCACCTATGCATATTATCGGGTTTTCTGGAGGGTTTCTGCCAATCACCATATATTTCGTTTTTAAAATGTTGATTGAGGCCATATTTTTTACCTATGCTATTTACCCTATCAAGTAGTAACTGCTGGTCTTCCAAATTATCAGTTATAATCACTGTGTCGTCCGCATAGCGTAGGTTGCTAATTGGTATACCGTTCACCTTAATGCCTAATTCCGTGTCTTCTAATGCTTCCGCAAATATATTTTCAACATATAAATTAAAAAGCATCGGAGAGAGTATGCAGCCTTGGCGGACACCTTTCCGGATTTCAAATTCTCCGTATATTGCTCTTGATCAATTCTCAACTTTGCCATTTAGTTCCAATATAGATTCTGAATAATTCTGATCTCCTTCTGGTCAATGTTGGCCCTATGTAGTAGTTCCATCATGATATCATGTTTAACATTGTCAAATGCCTTCTCGTAGTCGATGAAGGTGAGGTAGACATCTTTTAGTTGATCTAAGCAGTTTTGTATTAAGGTGTTCAAATATAAAATTGCCTCACTTTGTGCCTCTGATTGTGGTCGGATGCAATATCAGCACCTGTTTATGAAATCTGTTTATTAGGACGTAGTCAATTTGATTTCTAATTATTTGGTTTGGACCGTCTCCTGGTGATCTCTAAGTATATAACTTACGAGGTGGGAGCTGAAACCATGTGTTCATGACGACAAAATCGTTCTTCTGGCAGAATTCACACAGCAGGTCGCCTCTTTCATTTCTAACTCCAAGGCCGTACTCTCCAATTATTTTTTCATTTCTTCCTTTACCCACCTTGGCATTAAATTCGCCCATTATTATCTTTATGTCCTCTTTCTTTGTTAGTCTTATTGCTTTTTCCAGATCTTTATAGAACTTAGATATTTCTTCTTCTGACTTATCTGCTATTGGTGCATATGCTTGTGTCACATTTATGTTTACTGGTTTGCCTGTGATTTTGATCAACATGACTCGTTCGGAAATTGGAACAAAATCTGTCACCGATTTATTGGTCTTCCTGTCAAGAGCAATAGCCACTCCATGTCGGTGATGTCTATCTGTTGGGTCACTACACGAGTAATACATAGTAATCTTATCTTTCGTAAACTGTCCAGATCCAGTACATTGGACTTCACTGACTCCCATTATATTTATTTTCAGCCGATTCATTTCCTTTATAAGGTTGTGTAGTTTTCCTGGTTAGTAAAGACTATTAACATTCCATGTTGAAATTCGTTGGATATCATCTATTTGACACCGGGAGATTCTTCGCACCCTCTGGCCATCTAAGGCCTCCCCAGGACTGAGGGCCATTGTTTTGTTTTGTTCTGCCATAATGAGATGAGTTATCCTGGGGAAAAGGTAGTCTTGTAGTATCCCGTTACTTTCAACACCGCAGTACCACAGCCATTTAAACTGTCCTAGTCATGTCTGTAGAATTCCAATAACAAGCCGGTCCAAGATAATTTCTTTTGCACCTTGCGTTGGTACTGGTGATCGCTGCTGCCCTTCACCAGGGATAACTATGGAGGGTGTAGGATAAAGGTTATGGAACATGAGATTCCACGGTGTAGGATGGTGGAATATCATCAGCTAGCGTGGGCAGGGTCGCTAATCCCTGAAGTAGGTCTGTTTCCACCGGGATCGTGAAAAGTACCCACCCGGTACCTACAGTATCAGTCGACAGTCTTATCCAAATAAATACTTCTGGGACATTATATGTAAAAGCTCATAAATTTGCAAAAACCTTCATTGACTTTAGCAGCTGTTATTCATCCTTGTGTCCAAAATTTCCATTTTTCCAACGTGAATTTTATTTACAAACTTTTCTGATACTTTCCTGAATGGAATTTAAAATGTTGGATAGCGATTCATCTTGCGGTTTAGTGCTTTATAGTGCTTCATTGCCTCGCCTAAGTACTGTATGTTTCGCTCTAATATTTTAATTATGAACTCTGCCTGTGGGTAACGAGCACGAGGACTGGGTGCAATAAGTAGCTCAGAAGCCACGTTAATGCCCACAGATGGTGCCAAGCCCGGATAAAAGAGGAAAGTTAAGCATAGGTTAGCATCCTACCACCCATTGTAAAGAAAACAAGGCTCAAATAACCGATATAAAGCCTAAGAACCAGACGGAACCTAAGATTATGAACCACGCAAAGAAAAGAAAATCGAGAAGGAACAAAAAGCCCACAATAAGATTAGCAACATACAGATTGAACGAAATAAATTCGGAACATAGGAATATAATGTATTTCGGCTCAATTCTGCTGTAGCTTGTTGGCCAACAAAAGATTGTCAAATAATTATATTATAAAAAATCCCATACTTCAGCGGG